CACTCCTCCGGGCGCGCCGCTCCGGGCGCTCCCCTGCGCCTTCTTCCGCGAGCCGAGAGTCGCCGAGCGCAACTTTCTCTCCCCCTCTCTCCTCGCTGTTTGGGGGTCGCGGCGAGTGTTTTTAGTGCGCGGGTCGCAGCTTTCTCATTGTGCGCCAGCGAGGCCGATCCAGGCTGTCCTTTTTCTCCCCGCACTTAGTCTAAGAGGAAGAAAGCAAACAAGACAGAGGAGTGAAGCCCCCGTACATACATGCGCCGGGGGGAGATGTCAGGCGCCGCTCCACCTTCCAAACAGTCACAGATCAAACAGTGTCACCCCGCCGGAGCGCCACTTGGTGCCCCGCGCTTCCCCCCGGGGGGCTTGGCCGCCAGGATCGCCGCTTCTTCCAATGCGAAATCTAATGCAAACACATTTTGATCATGGATTTTTGGCCGGTCTTGATCTTCCAACAGAAAAAAATTTGAAAAATACACAAAAAGCACCCCCCCTCCAAGAAAAAAAAAAAGGCAATAACAACCCGGAGAGTGTGTGCAAAGGGGGTGAAGAGCAGACATTCACTGGGTGGGCGAGATGAGCGTGGACTGTTCCCCCCCCCCCAAACTCCTGGGAGAGAGGGAGATGCACTCTCGCTCTCTCCTCTTTTCAGTGAAATATAACACACATTCGGATCGCAGAGCTTTCAGACAGTCTCAACTGATAGACAGACACATCGAGCTGCTTTTCCTGCTTCAGATTTTACTCCTCCTCCTCTCGCCAACGTCACCCTGACAATTACAAATAGGTCTCTCACAAACCATACCTGTCAATCTTTTTAATTGCTTTGTTTTCTTTTTTTCGGAGCTAAACAATATGACAAAAAAAAAAGAAATCTTAATACAGCATAACATAAAAGACTGTACATTGGAGGAAGACATTCAGTGTTGTTATTGTAATCCACTGGCTGATACCGGGTAAAACCCATATGTTCTAAGTTAAGTAGACATTAGTTCCTGCAGATTTTAAAACCTGTTAGTCCCCCCCAACACACACACATACACATACACACACTTGCACATTCATACACACTCAACCACGTGCATCCAAACTACCCTTGGGTGAAGCATGTCCTACATTTGGGGGGAAAAAAAATACCTGTGTCGCTTTTGCAATCTCAGGTTAGGGGTTAGCTTTGGCTGGGGAGGAGCCCAGAGTGGCTTTTATATTTTGGTAATTAGTGGGTAACCGAAAAGTAATAGATTTTTAAAATTAAAATTTACAATATAAATAAAATTTAAAGATGGGCTTAGTTCATCACAGAAAAGTGTGGAAATATTTAATTTGGCCTCTCTATGAAAAGTGAATTTAGACTTGGTCAATGTACGCCAGTAGGGAGAAAACGGACACGATGGAACGACAGATCTTTCTAGCTGTGTTCGAAAATGAGGTCCTCACACATCAGTGCAACGTCTCCAATTCAGTTAGGTCTCTCGGCATTCCCACCTAGAACTTTAAAATGTGTCTGTGCTCTGGGAGTTTGGCCTTCTGGTTTTCAATACGTGTGTTCTCTCCCAGTGGGAAACCTGTAACAGTCTTGTAGAGCTACTTAAAACGTTCATGGAAAAACATGAAATCTAGGCCAAAATAAATAAAATGGCTTAGTTCGTGCAACTTGCATGGGACAGACCGTGGACAGAAGGCACGGGCAAGGCGTTCTGGGGACAGGAAGCCACCAGCCTGGGGCGCGGGAGGCACTGGACTTTTCCCCGCCCCGCAGTCGGTGCGGGTGCG